ACTAAGATTCGATAAGATTTCCTCACCGCCCAACAATTGCCACCAACACATGCGACCCTCATCCGGCGTGGAAACTCAATTCAACCGCAGCGCTTCTATTTTAGCTTAGACCATGACCGGAACATAATTCATGAGGTTCCGTGGTTCGTAATTCAACACGGCGTAGAATTATGTTTATTACATAGTGCCGAGTGCGCACTTTTAGAAGACCTCACATTTCACAGCTGACTTCAAATTGTGGAGGACGCGGTGGTCTCGGACTCGCCGTAGATCTTCGAGTCGAAGAAAATAACAGAGCAAAAAGCGTGATGTGGTCCATCATGGACGAAGCCAAGCACGAATTAAAATAATTATAACCTGTCTCACACTGCGACTTGAGAGCGAACAAAACAAAAACGAGAAATAAAGATTCATGATTAACACCAGAGGAATCTATAATATAAAAATGAATCGCAAAATGTGTTGGTAAGCGCGTAACTCAGCAATGCCTAGACCAATTTGGCTAATTCTTTTTTTAAAATGTTTGTTAAAGTCCAAGGATGGTTTTTACGGCGAGAAAAATTTGAATAATTGTCGGGAAAACCCTAAAAACAGCCCTTTTCTATAGGATAAAAGTTGGCATTGAGATTCAATCATAGTTATAGTTAAATAGTTGAATCCGAGATGGCGCGCTGAAGTTAGCAATTCTTATATAATTAATTTCTTTAAAATAAAATAGCGAATCTTATTGATAGAATTGACACATACTATGTCAAGAACAAGAGAGTAAAAACGAATTACATTTTTTTTTCAAATTTTGATCAAAATTCACCAAAAACCCACATCATAAACTTTTTATTTGTTTTTGTTTGATTTGTCCCCTCATATTGACGATGATGCATCGCGCATCATCAATCCAGACGTTTTGTTTGTCTTCAGCATCCACCCGCGCTGGGAAATAATAATGAATTCCCATCTTTCATCCCTTTCGCCACATCGCGACTTGTAGAAAATAATTAATCACGCGTGTTTACATTTATGACGCAGCCAGCCAACACGCCACACGCTGCGCGGTGTGTCCTGCCCGCGAGTATTAATGTTCCAACCCCCGAAAAACAATATATGACGGATAATATGAAGGGTGGGCGCCCGAGAGTACTAATATCCGTTGAAATCTGGCGACGCAAAGAAAACAATTCGTTTGGTTCGTCTTTTCTTCGCAGGACGCGCGACACGATAACAATACAACAATGCAGCGCAACGAAAAACATGAATTCTCGTTAATTACACAGCATTTCCTTTCAGATATCACTTATCTCCAAAAAAGAAAAATGTTTTTTTTTCGGTTTTGAAAATTCTTTTGGTGCTAAAATTTCAATTTGGCTATTCTTGTGTGTGTAGTCAAGACGTATATCTCTGTCAAAGCGCATTGGGCGTGTGGTCCTGCGTGAGTCCTGTCCAGGACCCGCAGGACGGTGCGTCGCACACGACATCGGGACGGAAACAATGCCAACGGGCTTAATTTATCACGCAGCGGGACCATTTCCTTCCTTGCACCCCCGCATCCAGTCAGGGAGGAAGGAGGAGGAGGTGAAGGCTTGTCACCACTCCCAGGGATGATAGGATGAGGGTTGCATTGAGTCCGATGTATCGGTATTCAATACAATTTCTACCGAGTGATAAAAAAGCCAATGCGATTTTTTTTGCAAATATATTTTGCTAAGACTTGAAAAGTCGCATTCACTTCCGCTTCCGGGTCTTGGCAGCGTCCTTTTGTGGGTTTTCGTGCGTTTGCTTCCGTTTCTCCCGTTCTAATGATAATGATACGATTCGGCAGGCGATTTGGCTCAGTTTTCGGGGAATCAGGTGCAGAACGCGCGGCTATTGTGTCGAAGGGCTTAATAAATGACGACGAGATGAATGGAGGGCATAAAAAGCAGCAAGCAACAAAAATTTATTTTTTCAAAGAAAAAACTTTCACCTTTTTAGTTTTGCAGATATATACAGATGTAATACAATGGTAGGTAGTACGAGAGGGTGAGTATAAGCTAAGTAAAGTTAAGTAAACACTTACTGTACGCTATACCCTCACAATATCGCCAAATACTTGCATTGACTTGCAATGGTTTAGTAAAAATATAGTTTTGGCGATATTGTGAGGGTATAGCGTACAGTAAGTGTTTACTTAACTTTACTTAGCATATACAGATGTCTTAATTTTTTTTTCTTTTTTTAACAAAAATTTTTTTTTCTCAAAACTTAAGAAATAAAACAAAATGACAAAAGAATATTCACAAAAAAAGTCTCATGAATATTGTCGATACTTAACACGTTCAACTTTCATCATCCCCAGAAAACTTTTTCTTTATTATCACCCAAAAACGTCTTTATTTGCGTCATTTTTCGCAAACTTTTTAGAGTTTCCTAAAGTTCGCAAGCAGTTCCTCAGAATTTTTTGGTTTGTTATATTTAATGCATGAAAAGTGTTACAGTTTCCGTCGAAAGTAGATGCATATTATGAAAATGCGTGCACAGACTCTCTTGGAGAGTTGACAGTTGACAGTGAGCCCTAATTCCATCAAACAACAGCGAGAAAAGCAGTGAAAAACTGCAAAACACAAAAGTTTAAAAAGCACGACGTGGATTACTAAGTAGAAGCCGCGCACATAAAAAAAGTAACGTATAAAATGTATACTTACTTAAAACTTGTAGAAGCAAGTTCAAAAGTTTGCAAAACAAAGTAGAAAACATAATAAAAAACAAAAAGAATCAAAGTAAGTAAATATTTCTAGAATCTAGGAGGATCTTAAATTGTAAGAAAATGTCTAACTCTAACTCTAGGAGAAAAAAAAAGTACCTAGTATCTTGAAGTACTGAAAGAGAATAGAATAGAAGTAAGTACTTCTTGTTTCCTTCCTGACTCTTGTAAATAAGTCAAAGTAAACCTCAGAAAGCTTCACGACGAAAAAGTGTTAAGGATGTGCCTGCTTAACTTTTTATTTTCAATTGCAGAGCTTGTAATGAATACAAAACTGAAATGCATGCACCTCGTCGGAATAATAAGCGAAAGCAATCATAAACTCGTAAAAAACGAAAATCGTAAAATATTAAAAACAGCAAAACTCGTAAAATTTACAACTTACACAGAATTAAATTATTGCCTCATTAAAATTCAACAAAAATTAAATTTAATACAACTTGTACAATAGACAAATCGGAAACGGAAAAATTAATTAGTGCTAATTGAATTACGCAGAGCTACAGCAAGCGAATGCCAATTGAAATATAATTATTTCATTATTTCACAACCGCAAAACACCGCGGAATACGAACGGAAAAAAGGCAGCTTGTTAAAGAAGATAATTTAATAATGAAAGCAACAATTTGTCTGACCACCACGGAAGAAATACGAATGCCTTTTATATTTTCGGCCGAAAAACAAAAGAAAATAATTCACTTTGGTGTATCAGGCGTCTGGGGAAATTCGAGTCGGTTATATCCTCGCATTTTAGGCAAACTTCATCAAGAACTCAGCAAGAAAAACAGCCGAAAACCGAAAAATTCAATAAATATTATTTAAACAACGCGCAATTGAGGTTAAATATTTGTCCATCGGACGGTTTGGTTTTTGTTGGCAGTGCATAATTTAACTCTTGAAAAAATTCAATATTTACTCTCATAACTCGTTTCTTTTATTTTATTTTTGATGCAATTTAAGCAAAAAAATCTTTCTTTTGTTTCCATCGTTTTGGTTGGGTTTGCGGCCGTTATGTTGATTCACTGACTGTGCAGAAGAGTAAAAGAATAAAAGAGCGCTGCTAACAGTCAAAACTGTTTGCTTTTCATTATTGGCACCGTGGCAGAATGGCACCGCGAAGACAAGCGAAGAGACTTGAGGATGGAGACAAGTCATGATTTTGCGTACGCCAGCCGGGTGAGTAAGCAAACCGCTAGCGTAAAGAGCTCTCTGCACAGAGCAGAAGAACTTAATGAGGACGTTTAATGACGCTTGGGCCTTGTTTAATTAAATCTGTTTGCGTACGGCGCGCGTAGACAAGATGCTTGAAGACGACGCGCGGCCAAACGAATTAAAACACGTGGTTTGTGCGATTTGCGCTTTGTCAACACTTGGAAGAATCAAGAAAACAATTCGTTGGAAAAATTAGGTCAAAATATTCGATATGGAGGAAAAAATCCAACAAAATATTTTGTTTTCTTCTGTTAATTAATTAATTAATCCGTGGGGAATAGAGCTATGAACAAAATTCTTTCAAAATTAGATTCTGAATTAAATTTGCTAACAAACTATGTAAAACTTTTGATTTGTTTATAACTGTACGAAAAGTTACAGGGTGATGAAAAATAGTGTCAAAATCAGACAAAAAAAATTTTGGATTGATTGTTGTGGTTTTTTATCAATAACTCAAAAACTAATAAAGATAAATTTCTAAACTCTTCAATAATTGATTCTGTATTAAATTCTCTATCCAAATGTGTAAAAATATTAATAAACATATTATTATACAAAAAGTAATAAACAATTAAAGTTAAAACTCTCAAATTTAACGAAATTACCCTGTAACTTTTCACTAAAAATTGTTTTCCCAAATTTTCTTTAAGAAATATATAGAAAATATATTACTTAATATCTCATTAAAAAATTATTCATCTAAGTTAATTAGTTTTCGAGTAATTAATAAAAAACCAAACCAATTGTACTATTATTTCCAATACACGTATATTTTGGTATTTTTTGCAGACAATTGAAAATTTTCATCGTAAAAACTTTCGATAGATTATTTTTCATGAGAAAACTTCTTCAAACTCAAACTTTTCAAATGTTTATTCCACTTTCCACAAACGTCCCTTCCACGCTTTGTTTTCACCGTTTTAATAACTCAAAAACACTTTTATTGGACTTTGAACTTTCCAACATAAAAAAAATAAACGAAAACCTTTCCCCCAAATGCAAATGCAAAGTTTACCCAATAAAAGAATTAAATAAATAAAGTGAAAATTACCTTAGTGTTTTCACGATGTCACACTGCTTAATCCAACGATATATCCAAATATCCACACGAGCCAAACCAAAACAACTTTTGTTTTTTTGTCAAAACACTAAACAAACGCACTGCATAAATCACAAAATGTGTGTTGTTATCGTCCGCTGCGCTGCGAATAAAACAGGTTTGCGCGTTATCACTCCGATAAAATTCGTCAACTCACGCGAAAAGAAAAGTAAAATCTTATGTTTGTGTTAAGATTCTTCACCAAATAATTAAATTACAATGTTTCAGTACTGTGTGTAACAGTTTTTACTAGTTTTCACTGCGTATACTTCCTACGATATTTTCACTTCACGTTGAGTGAAATTTTAACTTCGGGGTGCGTAAAAGATCGCGTCACCGAACGCGTTGAACCACGAGGCGCTGCGCAACCGACGCGCACGAAGGCTGCCGCAGAACTGGATCGCCGGAGAGACGCGCGCGTTGCTGTGTGCTTCGGATTGCTGCGCGCGCCCCACTCACGCAGAGCTGCCGATGAAAAGTACTCAAAATACGTACAATTCAAAGGCACAACACAACGACACAAGTTAATCTTTCATTGAAATCGTCACTAGCGGAAAACTCTGATATTGTATAGTTGAATGTGTTAGTTCTTGTTATTTAGAACAAATTATAGGTTTATATGCACTTACATTCGACATGATATGCGAGTTTCACCAACAGTTGAAATTCTTATCTTTCGCAGAAATTGTTGAACGTTGACTTCTGATCTATGAGTAATTAGTAACTGGTGCAATGGACGAAGTATCTCGCAATAAATACGTGGAGAAATATGAATAATACGAATTGTTCTTTGAATAAATTAGTTCAGACGCGACACACAAAGCTGGAGGTTGCGGAGGTTATGAAAAAAGCGTTTGAGCGGCAAAGTTTTAGTTGCAGAGGGATCATATAGATTCATGGATCGCGTAAAACTTAAATTTGAATTTTTAAGTTTTATATTTCTTGATAAAAGTTAAAAACTACAAGAAAATGATTGGGAAACAATTTATTATGAATAAATATTATAGATTGATGTTTGTAACATGTATTTATTAAATTTAAAGTAAAAATAAATTTGAATTTATAAAATGTTTTGTTTTTCTACATGCACGCCACCTAGTGGACATACAACTAACTAAATTACATTTTAAAACTTTCTAAACTGTAATTTTCTACATAACCTCACTTTTTCTTCTACAATCAACAAAAAAACAACAAAAACAGGTATGTTTGCATTTATAAACTAATATTCATCATAACAAACCATAATTTTTATTAAAATGATTTATTCTTTGTTTACATTCAAATTACACTTCATTCTCAAACTGCAAAGTTGACAAAATGTCAAAATCGAACACCTCTCCCCTTCCTAAACCCTCCAACGTAAAATAAGAATGGTTATACATTGGTGAGACGTTGTTATTCCCTGTTATGCGCGTCTTTCTTCACTGGATCCGCTCCGAAACCGTCGCATGTCGCTTGAACTCGCGCGGTCCCGACTAGAAAGTGCTCTCCAGTCTCCAGCCTCGCCACACGCGAGAAGTCGCACAGCTGCGGTCCTCAAACACTCTTCCAATCTTCTATTCTCTCCTCCAGAAGCAACCACTAGCGTGTATTCTATCTTACCTTCATATTTTCCACACGTATTGAACCACTGCTCTCTTTCTGGTTTACTTGGTGGGAATATCTTGGAGTGTTCGGAGTTATCCGGGAGTGCTAAGCCGAGGGGCGATGCACAAGCTGCAAGACGCTTTTTTATGCGCTGCGACAAAGTCGAGTGCATTTCTGTGGACCTGTGGGCTTGGACCCTCTCGAAATTTGCATTCTTCATTCCCCATGCGGAATTGTGCAATTTTTGCAAGCTGCAACTCGAAATGTAGTGCCAATAAGCCGGTAATGAAATAGCACGGTGTTATGATCACCGAAAAACAATCCAAAACCCCTAGGCGGACATTTTGTTCGATATTTATACCGCAACTCAATCATTCAGTACCTGAAACATCAAAAAAACAAAAATTAATGTTTTGATTAAGATTAATCACGTTCTAAACATTAATTGCCTAATTTTTATGAAAATATTCCCCATCGATGTGTGTACATCAAACAATTAAATATGAAAACATTCATTTGTTCACCCAAATACAAAATAATTAATAAATATAGGTTAGGATGCTATGAAATTCATTTTGAATTATTTTTGAGTAATTCTAAGCTTAATTAGTAAGAAACCACACTTGGTGGAGTTTCAGCGTGGTTCTCATCGTAGAGGTACGTTTTATTAACCCGCGGTCTACAACTATGCAAATATTGGCAGCATGCGGGGCGGAAATGCAAACGCGCTAAATTATTTACGCAGAGTAAAAGCCTCGTTGCGCGCCGACGCACGGTTCATCGATGCTGAGTGCCTATTGGTTTTGTAATTTCGCCGCTGGCGTATTCAACGTGTTCTATTACAGGGTTGCCAACTTTCCAACCTTCAAAAACTATGAAATTCTAACCTAAAACGTCAAAAAATCACATTTTTTAAACTTACGCTTAAAATAGGATAAAATTAAGGTTATGTTTGGAGGTTATGTTATGGTTTGATTTTATTCACTTGATTTTTTTTGGTTAACCCTTTCTAAATCATAAAATATGTCGGTTATTAATTAGCCGAACGTGAAATCCGAGCGCGAGCGCGCGGTGCGTCGGCGATGATTAAAAATGTAATTGTAATCCATTTGCTTTGCGCGCTCGCATTCATGCGTTATCATTACGAACAACACTAATCAAATAATGCCGAACAAGAGGAGTCATTAATAAATGCACTCGGCGCTATGTGTGTGGCTGCGGCGCTATTCCGATGGGTTGATTAATTCATTAGTTAATTAATCGTTTTGCGCACAATACGCAAGAAACAAAACAAGTTACTTATACGATATTACATAACCTCAAAAGCCAACAAACAATAAATAAATAAATACTTATGACGACATTATTCTAGTCGAAATTATAGGTTATGTTCGCAGTGATTTTAAAGCCGTTGAAATCGATCGTGGAAAATGCTTTGTTACCGAGTTGAAGTCAACGTGTTTGCCTTGCAATTGAAATTGAATCGTTCGTTAATTCACGGCGTCGGAGGAGAGAGTTTTCCATCGTGCAACAACCCCTAGTTATTCATTCAATCATAGACGTACGAAGCTGGCGCCGCACGCACACTCCACCCGCGTGGCGAGCAGGAAAATGGATGTGTAATAAACCGCGAAACATCTGTTTTGCTTCACGTTGTTTCACTTACGATTTTCAGCCGCGTGGGAAGCGACGCCATTGTTTATTCACGATGCGGGCAAACTTTAAACTAGAAATCTTGTTTCCGGCTTTTAGGCAACACATTATACACATTTAAGATGAATAGATGAATAGTGTTATATTGTGGAGACATCTAGAGGTGTTTTATTGATATTGTGATTTTTTGATGTTTTTTATTGTTGAGTTTATTGAAATAATGCATGCATATAGGTATTGCATGCGTTTGTACGGGCTGAGGACCGTAATTTTCTTGTCGAGCAGACGATGCATGCGATAATGGTTACATTTCGTATCACAACGCATCAAAGCAAAGCGATGCAATATTAAAATATGTTCGACGATAATTTCCGAGTCGCTGGTGGAAGCGGTTTTGCTTCTTTGCGGCCGCGGCACGAACAAATGTCAAAATACATGACAAGTGGATATACTGCTTATGTGAGTTGGACAAGACGCAAACATAAGTACTACAAGTACACGTATATGCAATATGCAATATACAGGATGATGAAGAATAAGGTGAAATATTTTATTACTGCGAAATTAATTGAAATGTTGCTAGAAATATGCAGAACAACAGTTTAAAGAATGAAAAATTTATATTTTATGGTTGGTAATGTTAGTAATAATGTCATACGTATTGTATAAACTTAGGTAATGATTAAACTCTTAGATTATTCAAATCTTGGCTGCGTAGTTTCCATTTTAAAATTTAATTGCTTGTCGCATGCTTCAACTTGGTGTCTTTTGTCTTTTCACTGCGTGTCTCTGAATGTCCTGATAAATATTAATTTTATAATTACCTGTTTCGTTTGCTTCACACAACTGTAGAAATCTTACATTTCTTTGGGATTTTTAACTACGAGTATATTAATTCAATATTAAATCTCTATCAAGAAAAAAATTTCTTTTTCTAGTTCTACCTATAAAGTGCCAGGTTTTCCACGGTTTTTAGACACAAACCGTGACTAAAGTACTTTAGTCACGGGCTTTAGTTATGGGGAGGAGCATACGCCAGTGCATTTGCGTACGGTACAACACAAAACTACATGAAATGCCACGCACTGTAAGTCAAACAAGTCAAGCGTAGCAAATTTTATTTAATCTAGTGTTTGACAACTTTTACCCACATGATGTTTATTCACTTGATACTTAATGTACTATTAATATTATAAAACAAGTGTATGAATTATAAAATTAAAACTTTTCTCCTTAATTTTCACGAATTTGAGGTTAAAATTTACCAAAATTCAAACAACAAAATATTCGCTATGAACAATATACTTTTATGCATAAATGTGCTAAACTCCTAATTACTTCAGGATATTATTAGTAAAGACAGTTTAGAATCCTGATAAGATATACGATAGTAAGTTGTCATAGGTTTAAAGATTGAACATCTGTTAGAAATTAAGAAAACATTAAAAACAGCTTAAACTCCAAAACCTCCGGAGGAAACACTCATCCTAAGTGTTCTAAAATTCGAAACACGTTAATAAGCAGAAATTCGCCGCCGAAAATAGTCTCAAAGTTATGCACAACGCACAAAATTATCGTTTCACAAGATTTGGGGTAGTTCCTGGGTGAATATTAACAGACACGCGCATATTTTTTCACTTTCAGCACCCGAAATGTATTTCTATACTCATTAAGTCAAACTAGGTGCCAAATAAGACACACATTTCAAAATAAGTAATAACTAAATAATTAAGTTTACTTAATTATCATTTTGAGGCTATTCTTACATTATTTACTCGTAATTCTCTTTATTTCTTGTTTTAAAATGTTCCTTTGTTTAAGTATTTTATGCGCGTCGAATGTAAGAATTTGAATCGTTCGAAAAACGGTGTAAATCACGTTTATTGGTGTTTTAATTGCCGCTAATTACGTCGAGCGAGCGACGCGCCACGGCGATAACGATCGCGCCTTCCAGCCTTCCATTATCTGCTGCCCACTTGTCCACTTCTCGACAAACAAAATGCGGCAAGCCCATTGCAGCAAAGACGAAACAAAGTGCATTGAAATATTCCAACAAAACATACAATATGTTCAAAAATATTATAAATTGTGTTTATTCAATTTGCACCCTCAGTATAAATACTTATCGGTGCGTTGGAAGTGCATAAAATTTTATTGCGTAACTAC